ACGCTCAGCACTTGCTAGACTGGCTTATAATACGTGGAATGGTAAAAATAATGATAAACTTGTACCGGCCAAATCCAAATGGAAATACGTTGCAAACAAATATTCACATAGTTGGTGTTATTGAAGGTGTAACTGCAATAGTAATGGAAAAGAATTGGAAAATGTGGCTTCGCCATTCTCGAAGATAAATATATGTATATTTTATAAAATAATGTATAAAATAATGTAATAAAATTTGTTTCTAAAATTAGAAAAGACTTATATGACGCGTCAACTCAAAAATGAACCAAAAATGTGGAACCCAATAATTTTCTTTATTTCACATTCGCCAAAAACATATATACATTCGTGACCATTTTAAAACTTCATACGAAAGTTTTTCAAAAAAGTTTTTTAAACGAATATATCTTTTTAAGATAAAAAATAGTGGTTCAGACCCGTGGCTTTCTAACCATGTAAATTTTATCCTTTTTTGTTAAGTATTACAAAAGTTGGTATTGCAATGAAAATCGTATTACAGAATTTTTTTTTTTTGGACATTTTACTATAATAAAAATTAATTATAGCGATTTCTCTACCCTTAACTTGTTACAAATACTATTTGGATTTAAATCGAAGGTTCTAAAAAATTTCAAGTAAAATTGATTAAGAATTTACGTAAATTATTATAATCAAATTATTAGAAAATATACATTAAGAAATTATGAAAATCAAATGATTAAATATAATTGATTTTCATCATAAAGCTGTTATTGACAGAAATCGGTGGTTCTAATTTTGAAGAATTTCCTGGCTCTTTATACTTAGCAAGAAAACTCTTGGGCTAAAAGAATAATTCCCTATTCGACATCTAGAAGTTCAAATCAATGTCAGATACCTTTATCATCACAATGACAATTAGCCAATCATTATTCGTGTCACTAGCACAACTTAAGTTGGCCTGCACTATTTTTGATAATCAATTACATTTACTGTTATAGATTAAATTGATTACCGCAGTTATTTGTAAACGCGTTAACGCATAAGTCAATTATCTTTACGTATTTATCTTTAAACAAGTGCCTGCTAGAATTATCAAATGTTTCTTCTATAATTGGTAATTTTTCATCAGAATAAAATCGGAAATCTCAGTTTTTAAAAATTTTAAAGCTTAAAATATTAAATAGGTTTTAGCTTCCTATTATGTTATTTATTATGAAATTTACTTTGTACTGAAAATTAGCATTACGTTATTTTATCATTTGCCATGCTTAGTAACAATAATAAAATATATATGTGCTACTGAATTAAACCAATTAAACCACTGGTACATTATGACACGACAAATAATAAATTTATTGATTTATCAATTCATACTTTATGTTTAAATGTATTGTAATGATACTAATGTTCATTGCGTAATATATTTACTGACCACCTTTGCGACCGGTCTTTTCAACGGACCATCATAACCTGATTTAGCCCAACCAGGCGCATCTGATGGCGCTATTTCATCAACAGATTCGCTGGGTTTATACACCTGTTCTCGCTTTTTGATACCTTTTTTTGTATTTTTGTCTACATAATACAAAAATCGGCGCAACTTTTTGTTTTTTTTAAAAAAATAAATTAGCAATATGCTACCTTATAAACCATTTCAATAAATTCACTTACCGTGCTCGATCGCCATCGCAGATTACGTACAACTATTATATTTTGCCCGTCATCATCTTCTGAAAACTCAGGGCTGTGATAGCCGTTATCTGAGACGATTGGCAATAATTCTTCATCCTTGAACTTTTCGATCAGTGGATCTTTGAGTTCCTTTAAATTAACAATTGTCTTTGACCTGTTTCTCCTTTTCTATTTTATAAAAACTCGTAAGTAAATAACAATTACCAGTAAAATATAACATTTAACATTTATATTTACCTCCAATCATCGTGAATTTGCATGCTTCTGTCACGCCACCCTCTTCTTTTCATCTTCTGGCTTATTTTTATTGCAGAGATTCTCTCTCTGATGACGGTGTCTTTGATGTATCATCTCGTATACGACACCTTCCCCTATGGGGTAGGTGTTGAGATCGAGAGTTTTTATTAAGTTCAGTATAATCTTTTTTATTACAAGGTCTTTCTGTGATTTGAATGTTTTCTCTATATCGAGTTGATCTTCCTGTGGCAACCTTTCTAAGTTCCAAAATAAATCTCGCTAAAATAGTATTATTATCAGTAAACTTATAAAGTAAAAATACAGTGAGAGCTATATATATACTTGCAATGCTTCTCTCATATTTTTGCGCAATTCAGACATAAGTTGGTATCTTTTAGAAGTAGTAGGATTTGGCTGTTGATTTTTTGACTTTTTTCTTTTCCTGTCACCTTTTGGTCTAGAATCAGAACCAGAATCAGAATCAGAACCATCAAAGGCACGAGTGCCCCTTTGGTTTAATTTTATCAATTGTGTAGTTAATCAATTGACCCATACAGTGAATCAGAATGTGCAGAATACAATAAGCAGAATTACACGATATACGCTATAATGTACCTGATTCCGATTCCGAAATAGATTTAGTTTTCGATTCATATGAATTCATTTCTGATTCCATGCTACATTTTGTATAAAATTTACAAATATATTTTTTAATAACTAAACTGATATGAAGGTTACACACACAGTTTTTTATTTATGTTGAAAAAATGAAAGTTAATGAAGAGAAAGTTATGTATCGGTGGCTTCCGAACCATAAATTTTGGATAAAAAGGTTCGGGTTACATATTTATCTGTTAGGAAGCCTTGTTGGTAGACACTCCAACAGGCCTGGAAGCTCCCGAACTTTTGACGTCGGAGGTATACTTCTCAGTAGAATTAAAAAGTCAATGTCAAAATATTACGGCATAGCCAAAAACAATTACGTCAGTACAAATATTTACTAATAAAACATATAATTACGGCAAATTACGGCATTTTAATTACGTCTGTCATAATTCAAAAATTCAATTCTGCTGATAAGTATAGTCGGAGGCTTCGGCCGTTGCAGTCCTCCCAGAGCTTCAAAACATATAACTTCCAAACAACAAAATTTGTTTTACTTACTCGAAAGAGGACTGAAAATTTCGACTAAAAAAAGAGACAAATAACTTAAGTTTAAAAAACACGTCATTTCTCACGCTGCAAGACTATTAAATCATCTGAGCAATTTTGAACAGACCGTGTGGTCATTTTCTAGTTTTACCATAGTACAATCCAATTGATATTAATTTTCCACTAATACCCCGTAAAACTTCCTACCTTCACATGCCATTTAGCAACAATAGTCTATTCCAATGATATTAATATACAATTAAATAAATCAAATGACCGATTGGTTTTATCAAACCGGAATTGTACATGTTAAAAGTTTTTTATTACCGAATTCAAGCTAAACGCGATTATCTAAAGCACGTCTATCTAGAAATTTATAAATAGATTAAAAGATTTTAAAGATTGCACTTATATATTTTTATTAAACGCTTTTAAACTAAAGAATAAAGATACACGTAATCATATCTACAAAAATTAGAAATAAAGTACTCTGTGATTGTAAAAAATGTAATGGCAAGTTTGTTGAAGAACGAACCAGAAAAAGTCACATGGAACTAGAGCAACATCTAGCATATAATGTTTCTGGCTTTGTCCCTTTTTTACCCAGAAATAAATACGATAAGCAAGCATATATCACTCCAGAAATCGAACATGGTCTGGTTGCAGAAAGATCATCAAGCTCAAAAAAAAAAACAGAAGAAGAGCCAATTTCATTTGATTTTGCCGTTTTAGTCCCCATAAAAGGTGGGAACAAGACCAGTTTTGAGAACCGAAAGTCAATCAGCAAGAAAATTCAGGTAATGATAAAAGAAATAGACCGATTGACCCGGTTGACGAATATGAACATGAATACGAAGGTGACACACTTTCAAAAGATGATGATATAGTTTTGAACGATCATGAAACTCCAGTTGAGCAATTTATTGTGCCTGAAAATGATTTAAAATTTGAATATCCCGACACAAATGTCAATTTTGTGGATTCTTGGATATTAATATGGATATTCAAGTATCAAGCAAGATTTCGCTTGCCAGACGTTGCAATAGATTCTTTGGTCAAGTTTTTTCAACAATTATTAATGGATGCTGATAAGACGAGATTCAAAGATTTCCTGACTTCTTTATATACTGCGAGTAAGTTGTTACAAATCGGCAAGCAATCAAAAACTTACACAGTATGTCCAAGCTGTAATACATTATATAATACAGCTGAAGTTGTGGCGGAAGAAAGATTCAATTGCACACATGTGGAATTTCCAATGCAACCAAAAAGAAAACCTTGTGGAATGGAATTAACCGAACAAGTTCTGCTTGGTGATGGACATAAAAGACAACCGAAATTGTTATTTCCCTTGCCGAGTTTGAAAATGCAAATAAACAGTTTATATCAACGATTAGGATTCCAGCAGCAATTACGAAAATGGACCAACCGGTATATCGATAATGGTATGCTAGCAGATGTTTATGATGGTAAAATCTGGAAAAATTTTCTTGACGTTTCGAATGTACCATATTTCACACCAGAAACTGCAGATTCCCACTTGGGAATTATGATCAATCTCGATTGGTTCCAACCCTTTGAATCATCTGTATACAGTTGTAGGGCGATTTATGGAGTTATTTGTAACCTACTACGTGAAGTTAGATTTAAAAAAGAAAATATGTTAATACTTGGTCTATTACCAGGACCAAATGAGGTTAAGTTACACAAAATTAACTATTATCTCTTCCCGATTGTTAATGAGTTATTAGAGTTCTGGAATGGGATTAAGATTCCCGCCGCTGGAAAAAATATCCGATTAGCATTAATATGCTGTTCAAATGACATTCCTGCAGCGAGAAAGCTCTGTGGTCATGTATCAGCATTAGTGAGCTGTCATAGGTGTTATAAAACATCAAATTCAAATGGAAATGGAAATAAGTCAAATTTTGGTGGATTTGATAATATGGACGACTGGTTTGTAAAGAAAGACTTAGAGGAACATCGGCAGAATGCCGAGGACTGGAGGCTATGTAAATCTGAAGAGAAAAGAAAACGTCATGTAAGTTCGACCCATGTTAGATGGTCCGAACTACTTCGATTGCCATACTTTAATCCAATAAGGCACCTTATCGTAGATTCGATGCACTGTTTGTTCCTCGGAATAGCCCATTGGATTATCAAAAAGTTATGGATTGATGGTGGTAAAATCATGAAATATGACCTAGAAAAAATGGAAAAGCGAGCAAAAACAATATAAATACCCGCGGATTTGGGATGCATTCCTAATAAAATCGCAACTGGAGAAGGATTTTCCAGGTTTACGGCCGACCAATGGAAAACATTTGTTCTAATTTATGCTCCCATTGATGTGGGATTTGCTCGCTGAACCAGATCGAAAAATCTTGGGCAATTTCGTTAGGGCTTGTTCTCTGCTGGTTTGTCGAATTATTGACCATAATATATTGAACGAAGCGCACAAACGGTTGCTCAAAGTTGCAACATTAATTGAAGAAAATTATGGTCCAGAAAGGATCACCCCAAATCTTCACTTATGTCTTCATATTGCCGATTGTTGCTGTAACTATGGACTATTATATTCTTTCTGGTGTTTTTCTTTTAAAAGAATGAACGGAATACACTGGTCGAAATAAAAACTTTCAGTCATGTGACAAATCGGCTGATCTGTCACACATTTTGGCCAAATTTTAGAAATTATTAAAAATCGGCCAAATTTCGACATATATGATTTATGGTCGATTTATTGAATTATTTAATCAAACGTTACGCATTACGCGTTACGCATATTAAAAGTTTAAAAAAGGATCATCCTTTTTTAAACTTTTTTTAATTTTTTTCTTTCCCTCCCCTTTCCTTTCCTTCATTCCCCTTCCCTGTTTCCCCTTCTTCCTCTTTCCTTTCCTTCGTTCTCCTTTCCCTTCCTTCTCTTTTTCTTCCTTCCCCTTCCTCCTTTCACTTTTTTTACTTTTTTTTTATAGGTTCGGCTTTCGGGTGGGCTTCTGAAGTACAGAAACTCCAAAGATTCGTAAGTACGAATACTTTGGAGTTTATTTTATTTTTTTTTAATACGAACGGTTACTAACTGTTCTTTTTTCTTTCTTTTTTTTTAGGTTCGGCCGTTCAGGTGGGCTTCCGAAGTACAGAAACTCCAAAGATTTGTAAGTACGAATACTTTGGAGTTTATTTTATTTTTTTTTTAATATGAACAGTTATTAACTGTTCTTTTTTCTTTCTTTTTTTTAGGTTCGGCCGTTCGGGTGACTTCTGAAGAATAGAAAAAACCAAAGTTTTGTAAGTTCGGAACTTGGTTTATTTTTTTTTAATATTATGAACGGTTATTAACCGTTTTTTTTCTTTTATTTTTTATAGGTTCGGCGTCTCAGGTAGGGCTTCCGAGTTCCGAAGAACGAAAAAAACCAAAATTCGTAAGTATATACGAATCTTGGTTTTAATTTTTTTTATTTTTTTTTTAATTTTATTAATGAACGGTTACTAATAACCGTTCCTTTCTTTATTTTTTAGGTTCGGGTAGGCTTCTGAAGAACGAAAACCCAAAGATAAAGATTCGTAAGTACGAATCTTTTCTTTATAATTTTTTTTTTTATTTTTTCTTTATTACGAACGGTTACTAATAACCATTTTTTTCTTTATTTTTTAGGTTCGGGTGGGCTTCCGAAAAACGAAAATCCAAAGGTAAAGATTCGTAAGTACGAATCTTTACTTTATAATTTTTTTTTTTGTTTTTTCTTTATTACGAACGGTTACTAAAACCGTTTTTTCTTTATTTTTTAGGTTCGGGTGGGCTTCCGAAAAATGAAAACCCAAAGGTAAAGATTCGTAAGTACAAATCTTTACTTTTTTTTTCTTTTTTTTTGTTTTTTTCTTTATTACGAACAGTTACTAATAACCGTTCTTTTCTTTATTTTTTTAGGTGCGGTGGGCTTCCGAAAAACGAAACCCCAAAGATAAAGATTCGTAAGTACGAATCTTTACTTTATAATTTTTTTTTTAATTTTATTAATGAACGGTTACTAATAACCGTTCTTTTCTTTTTTTATAGGTTCGGGTGGACTTCCGAAGAACGGAAAAAGGAGAACCTTTAATATTCGTAAGTAATATACTTACGAATCTTTTTTTTTTAATGTTATGGAACGGTTACTAACCGTTCCTTTGATTTTTTTTTATAGGTTCGGGTGGATTTCTGTCTTTCCAAGGAACGGAAAAAACTAAAGATTCAGTATAAATCTTTATTTTTTTATTTTTGTTTATTATTACGAACGGTTTCTAACCATTCTTTTTCTTTTTTTTTTTAGGTCAGTGTCTTCTGAAGAATAGAAAAAACCAAGATTCGTAAGTACGAATCTTGGTTTTATTTTTATTTTTTTTTTATAATATTAACGAACGGTTACTGATAACCGTTCTTATTTTATTTTTTTAGTTCAGTGGACTTCTGAAGAATAACGGAAAACCAAGATTCGTAAGTAAGTACGAATCTTGGTTCTTTTTTTTATTTTTTATTTTTATTTTTTATTACTACGAACGGTTTACTAATAACCGTTCTTTTCTTTTTATAGGTTTCGGGATCTTTAGAAAAAGTGGAACCAAGATTCGTAAGTACGAATCTTAGTTTATTTTTTATTTTTTTTAATATTATTATGAACGGTTATTAATAACCGCTCTTTTTTCTTTTTATAGGTTTGGTGTCTCGAGTGGATTCCGATAAACAGAAAAAACCAAAGATTCGTAAGTAGAATCTTGGGGTTTTTTGCTTTTTTTTAATATTATGGAACGGTTACTAACCGTTCTTTTCTTTTTTTTATAGTTTTGGTGGGTTTCCAAAAGATCAAGATTCGTAAGTATATACGAATACATGAATTATGTGATTGTGGAATTGTAGATTAGCAATACTTATTTGTAATATGCATTTATAAATAAAGTTGTGATTTTATTGCGAATATCAAATAAAATGAGTTGTGGCTGAATATTAGTAAATAAATTTAGTACAAATTTGCAATATAAATTAAGTAACATTCGGAAAACTATTCACCAAAATTTGCTATCTGAAATTGTTCCGAATGTTAACTGAATTTTGGCTGAAATTTCAAGCCGAACTTTAGGCGAGTGGCAGCGAATTGCAGCCAAAAAATCTGCTAAAGTTCGACCAGCATTAGACCATAAATCAGCCTAAAATCGGCTGGCTGAATTTTGGCCGATTTGGACTATTTTGACCAGTGTAATCCTCGGTAGGCTATTTTGTAAACTGTTTAATTATTAAGCTTGTACTAATAATTTATTAAACAAAATAACAAAATATCAATAGGTTCTTTTCCCAATAGTCATCATCAAATTGAACCTGAACTTTTACGAATTACCATGCAGCATTTGAGAATTGATGAGCTTGTGTCCACTCAATCAAATAATGATAAGCTTGTTGAAGCTTTAAAATTAATACAGTCACAGCCAACTTCCGGAAGTTTAGCAGCTTACGACAATTTTAATTATGCTGAACTGTATCAATTTAGAAAAGCTTTCTTCCAAGAAGTTGATGATACAATTGTCGGTAGCGAACCATTTCCTGGTGAAATGCATACGCCATGTAGAAATCAGGTTGCTTTACCTGACAATATTTACCAAATCTTAACTGATTATTATAATGATGCTTACGAATTACAATTTGCAACAATCGCCAAAATATCAGCCAGTCCAAGCGATACAATTGTTGTGCCGAATGTAGTTAATCAATTTGGCCATGTTAGGATTTCAGCAGAAATTTTTGGATCAGCAACGGCATCCCGATACTTGAAAAATGCTAATGTATTGGCAAATTTTATACAGGACAATGAAACGACTGATTTATTTTCCGGTCAGGCGTAATATTATTTTGAGCATACAATGAGGATTTCTGGTAAGCTTAAAACTCATCAATTAGCATTTGTCAAATGGTATAAACCAGCACCAAACCAGCAAACTCGATTTTATACAAAAATTGATAATGAAAAAAGCTCAAATATTGAACTTTGGCGGAATGAATTTTATGATATAGCACGGAATTGTATAATTCCAATTCATTACTTATATAGCCGATTTGTATCTACTAAATTTTTAATTGGTAAAAAGAATCCCATCGCATATAATGCTGTAATCCCAATAAATAGACAATTTCACTTATAAAATTATTTCTATTTTTAAATTTTAAATTTTTATAATTTATTTTGCAGCAATTCCAAATTTTACAGTATTTACTGGATGATTAAACAATTTAATACTGAAGACTCTTTTTTTCAACATTAATTGCCAAACCAATTTATTAATATTTATCAAAATATATCGAATAATAGAAAATTGGACATGCAAATATGAAATTTTACGTATGTTTTCATTATAGCAAATTTCATAAGTTGCGTAACATCTTTTTTACCCTTGCTGTGCCCAAACAAATCTAACGATATAGTTTTTACCTTATTTTGAGCTTTACCGAGTTTTACAAAGCGTGTTAAAATAATTGAAAATTGTCAAAAGTTTAAAATTAATGAAAATAATCGATTTAAAAAACATAAAAGACTGACTTCTATTATTGTATTATATTTTTTTTATACTTTGGTTTTTTCGTTTTTTAAACGTATGAATATGAACAAGGATAAAGAGAATATTGAATTATTAGATAAGTTGATCGGCAAACGGCAGATGTTTAACTTCAATCCAATTAATCGGATAATAAATCATCGAGTTTCTGGTTTTGCATTATGTATGATATGTAAGAACGAATCTACCAGTGAAAATCTGATGTCCCCTCGCAATTATTCGGATGAAGAAATTTAATTCCCTATTGTAATTAAATTAGAAAGTTTAAAATTTAGCTTGTATTGATTGGCGTTAAATTTAAAATAAATAAAAATTGTAGAAAATTTTTCTCGAATTCAATTTATTAATAATAATATTTCAATTGGGAATGGTGCATCACTTGATTTACTAATAAATATTTGAATATCAGTAACTTGATTGAAAAACGGTTCAAATTGTGCCAGTTAGAAAATGCCATTAATTACATTACAGCTGATTTCATAATGTACGGGACACTTAGCAAATTCTAAAGAACGGAAGTATTCAGTAAAGCTCAAAATAAGATAAAATTATAACACCACTCTCGGAACAATATTTCAAAATTAGCGTATAATTAGTCTAAAGTGTGTAATGAAGGACTATATATTATTAATCGTATCAGTTTCACAAATGTCCCGTTTTACTAATAATATCCTATTTTCGCCTACAATATATTTTTTCAGCCTACATTATAATATATCATCTTCAGTACCCATTAAATTTTAAACAAAATAAGCGTTTTAATTTAATAAAATTATATCGAAATAAACCAAGTATATAACCTATTGTAGTGTATTTTTTGGAGGTTCGACGTCAAGATGCTGTAATGTATAATTATAAGACCTTGCTCTTGTCAGCTTTGCATTTTGGATCGCAAGTGAATGATCTAAATTACCGATAAATATTAGTACAAAACCACTAAAAAAAATATATATATATTACTGACCCTTGCGGCTTTTCGTTCATTTATTATCTGACATTTTTTCTTCATATTCTCTTTTATATTCATCTGACCTAACATCGGTAAATAAGGGTAATTATGCAAATGTTTTTTAAAACTAATAAAATTCATATGATGATACCTCGCATGTTTACGGGTGCTTTTTCCTTTCTCCACAATACTTGGTTTGCGAAGGTTTTTGTATATTTCTAACTTTTTATAGAGATCATCATTTTTTTTTCTGAATTCTTCGTTGATCGCTATTAATGTTTCGTTTAGATCTTGGGTTTCCTTTAATTCTAGGAAAATTTTATTTAATTTCGTTTCTAACTCTTCAACATGAGCCTTTAATTTTTCGTTTTCGACCTTTAAATCTGAAAGTTAATATAAAGATAAACCGGTTTTCAAATGTATATCATAAAATATTCGTTAATAAACAATTAAGAATCAGTATTAATATACCTCTCTCAGTTTCATCTAATGGTTGCCGACTCAATTTTGGCAAATTTGCTACCGATTTTGGTAAGTGGATTTTAGGAATAGATTGAGAAATTTGTGGGATTTTTGATGATGAAGTGTTAATAGTATTTTGTTTAATATTTGATGATATATTACGCGATGGATATTTTAGATACCTTTGTATCAAATTCGATCGTGACGATGTACTAGATGAAGTTCGTGAAGTATTTGGTGATAATGGGACAACTTATGAGCCGTCTTCATTTAAATCATCAGGAAGTACGAGGTAAAAAGGACCCTCGCCATCTTCAATTTTTTTAATATTTTTTGTATTCTTTGACATTGCAGAAGAAATTTGAAAAAAAAATTATAAACACGATAAAATCAAACCTTGAGAAAATAGTTTATTTTATAACTTAAAAATTTGATCATGTAATATTTCAGAAGTATATTCTTCCGAAGTTCAATTAATCTTAATTTAGTTTAAGTTGATGTAAATTATTTAAATTATTTGATGACAAACTTCGATAAATCACATAAATTCAATGCGAAATTTCGATAAATTATTTTCTTAATATTGATATCAAATTCGACAAATTACTTAAATCATTAAAATTGATGGGCAATTCGATAAATCAATTAAAGTTAAAGATATATGTATGATGTTTTGGGAGGGAGATACTAATAGAATGCAAATTTTAAAGAACTCAGAAATATTCGGATAATTTGGGTTTAATAATCATAACCAAAAAATTTTATTAACAATTAATTAATTTTATATTTTTTTATTATTGGCTTTTCCAATTTTCCTAATGATATTTTAATGATGCCGCAAAGCAATTCAACTTTTGTTTCTTTTTCCGGATCAAACCTTTTAGGAAAATTATTAAAAAATTGTTTAAATTTTCTTAAAAATTAAAAAAAGAATTTACCTTTTTGGAAGGTGTATTGAAATTTCGATCTCATCTTTCAGTATATGGAAACTTCCTTTTTTACATTGAAGACCTGCTTCAATTTCCTGGTTATACTTGAATTTGACGTATATGTTCCTTGCTTCAAAATTATTTGTTTCTATTTCAATGCTGTTTTTTTCAACAGTAATCGCTTGAATATAGACGATTAATTCATCGCTATATTAAAATATAATAAATAAAACTTTAATCAATGCTAAATAATTATATTTAACTTAATAAAATAAAAATTTCAATACCTTGATTCAAAAATATTATATTGCGGCGAAGTTTGTAACTGCGACTGCGAAGTTTGTGACTGCGAGGTTTGTGAGGTTTGCAACTGCAACTGCAACTGCATCTGCGAGGTTTGTGACTGCGAGGTTTGTGACTGCAAGGTTTCCGATTGTGACTGAGACGGAATGTGCAATAACGGTTGCACTTCAATCTGAATTTGAAAATAATCTTAAATTATTAATACAGAATACATCTAATAATTACTAAAAAGTAACTTACATCATCGTCTCTATAATGCACTTTTTTTGCTTTTGCTCTGTTAAAATTTAATATTTTTCCACGTGATCCTGTAAAAGATTGTTCTTTTACATAATTAAAAAAATTATCTCTCTCCACTTCGTTCTCAAAGTGCACGAACCCAAACCTATAAATAAATAATAATAATAGAATATTGTTAGAATTACTATAAATTAAATAAACTACACCAATAACATTGTTTATTTTTTATTTACCCCCAATCATCCTTTTTTTTTATGTGTTTAAAGGGGAATTGCAATGTATTTTTAAGAAAATCAGCAATAGTTATTGCCTTTATTTCCTCTAATTCATCTGAATATTCTCCTCCAAAAAAAATGGACAACTTAGTTGTATAACAACATGGATATGAACTTCTTCCTGTTTATATAAAAAAATTTACATTGAAGAATAAATAAATACCTCAGTAACAGAAGGAAAAAAAACACCCAAAAACAGCCAAAAACAAAAAAGCCTCCGTGAAGGAAGGAAAAAAATCAGCCTTCCGTGAAGGAAGGAAAAAAAAAATCAGCCTTCCGTGAAGGAAGGAAGAAAAAATAGCCTCTCGTGAAAAGAAGGGAAAAAAAAAATAGCCTCCTGTGAAGGAAGGAAGAAAAAATAACCTCCTGTAAAAGAAGGAAAAAATACAGTACTTCCTAAGGAAAAAAAAATAAGGAAAAAAAATAAGGAAAAAAAATAAGGTAGAAAGAAGATATAAAAAAGTTGGAAAAATAAACCATATATATACCCATCTTTGATCTAGCGAAGCTGAAAGAATGATAGTAGGCTTAGTGGGTTTGGCGGGCTTGACTATATATAAAGAAATTAATAAATACATGTTATATAAATAAACAAGGACTGCGTTGATGAAGTTTCGCAGTTGGGCTGAGCGTTGACGCGTTAAGAAGAATAAACAAGGACCGTGTTGATGAAGTTTCGCAATTGGGCTAAGCGTTGACGTGTTAAGAAGAATAAATAAGGACCGCGTTGACGAAGTTTTGCGATTGGGCTGAGCGTTGACGCGTTAAGAAGAATAAACAAGAACCGCATTGATAAAGTTTCACGGTTGGGCTGATCATATTGTGCAACGTGACAAGAACAAAAAAATATAGGATTTTTTTTATCAGTCCACATAGTTTCTAAATACTGTACTGTAATGATGTAAGCTTTTTTTAAAAAAAGAAAATAAAGGATATTAAAGTAAATTGATCAAATGCCGACTTACAATTTGTTGCAGTTAATTTGGCAAATAATCATACACCGGTCACCTATCACACCTATCATATGCCGATTAGTGACTAATTGGTAACTGGAAAGAATAGAATACTAAAAATCGGTAAAAATTAGGAGATTCTTACTATCTCCTTTTTATTATTACAATAAATGATCAGATCTATGAAATATAATTTTAATAAAATATCGTTGGTTGTGTGACATAAAATTTTATATAACTCTATTTGCATTTAATTTTTTATTTATTTTTGATTTGCAATATCAGATCGGTCAGTTCAGTTATTTAATTTCAAAACTAATTATGATGGTTGGTGACCGTTAGGTCGATAGTGAATTTGATGTACTTATGAAGTTTAAAGTTCACATCATATCATTATAGCTACAATTTAATGGATTATCAGTAATTCAAAAACCACTTGCACGCTAAAATTTCTCTATACCGATTAATGAATCTCAATTATTATTACACGTAAAATTCGCAAAAAAAGTTTCAAGATTCCTGAATTTTGTTGATCAGTAGTAAAACTGTTTCTTCCACTTTCTTTTCCTTTTCGTCATCTTTCTTCTCTTCCTCATTTTTCTTCTCATCTTCCTGATCCTCCTCACCTAATATTGAAACGAATATTATACAAATGTACCGTACTGTCAATTACTCAGTCATGATGCTGGCCGTTTGAATGTTTTCTTTTTTCTTGGATTTTCCTTTCAGAAGATGAACGGCTCTTCTTTAGGTATTCCTCTCTACGATGGTGATGAAGCGAATGAATTATATCGTAAATGATTCCATAAGTAAGGTGGTGTTAATGGATTTCATTATGCCAGGTATGACATTGTTGTTAACGAGACTCCGCTACTTAAAGAAAGTTTGTTGTACATTATTAACTTGCTTATTTTCTGGCAAAGAATCGTATTTCTGAATAACCTCTTTCTATATATAAAAATAATATTAGAAAATAATTAAAATTTACAATAAAATTGATAGGTGATATCCTTATTTACCTCAACGCCTCTCTTAGGCTCTTTGGCATGTTCTCCTTTTTAAAATAAAAGAGGACGCTTGAATTGTCTGAGCTGCTTGGGCTGTATGAGCTGCTCGAACTGCTTGATGTTCAGACTGGAGCTTCTCCCTTCGCTTTTTTACTGAGCGTTTATATGATGGATTTTTTTGTATGTTTATTTTTATCAGATTTTGGTAGGTTTGGTCGGTTTACGCTGTCGATTTCCATTTCACTAGTGGCGGATTTTTTACTTTTTTTTATATCTTCATCCGAACTTAAGATAATTGGTTCTTCTTGAGAACTGAAGAGGCTCGGTATCCTGTAAGGCAAACTTTCATTAATTGGCGACCTTTGCAAATTGTTCGTTAATTTTCTACACATTTCCGACAAGATACTTGACCGAAGGTTAAATTTTTTTTTTGGTTATTTAAAGCATTGTTAACCGATTCGATACGTTGAATAGATTAACTATGATTTGCAGTCAGGGAGATTAAGTACGTTTAACTATGACTGAAATCCAATCAAACAAGACACGCTTAAAATAGGGAGTTCGTTTATAGTGTAAAAGGTTATACTTTATTATAGAACTTTATAATTACAAGAATAAGAACTAATAGGAACTAAGGTTAACTAATTCGAACTGAAGGAACTAAACTTATAACGAAGGAAAATACCAACGTTATTTATATAAAAGTTACTACATATAAAGATATAATAAATATAATAGATATAATAAATATAAGAAATATAACTAATATAATAAATATAACTAATAAATTAAATATAATAAATAAAATAATTATATCGATTATATTAAATATAATTAATATAATAAATATAATAAAAATAATAGGCTAAATAGGCTGCGGCTAAGTCGGCTTGGCACAGTTGGGCACAGTAGATCCTAATTTTCCACATGATCTTCTGGCGCAGTAAGTTGTAACTCTACACGTGACTAGGGGTAACAGCATGCATCAGCTGATTGCCCAATTTTAATTCATCGGCATTATCAATAACCATATTAGATTTGTTAATTATTGTTATATCATTCTGTTGTTTCTTACTGATACTGGAACAAAAACGAAAGAAAAAGAAAGAAATCGGTCTTTTCTTAACCATTAGACCGTATGCTATGATCATATTGATATATTTATTTTATTAACTATTTTGTAATGATCAAATAAATAATCGATATTAAAAATATATAATGAGTTAATGACAGATTTCTTTCTTTCGTTAAATGTAAAGAAAAAAAAAAATATCGTTAATATACCAATAAATCTAATAAATCTAATAAGGATATTGAAAACGTTGATGAAATAGTTGGTAAGACCGGCAATTGCAGATCATGCTTTTTTTTCCTTTTTTTTCAATAACTAAAAATTTTTTTAGTAACAGGTTAAATACCTGGCACAATGTATAGAAAAACTGACTAATCACAAGAGTCGCAAGGTCGGCAGATTTGCCCTACGGAATTTCCACGAGGATGTAAAATAAAAGTGGAAAAAAGTGTTATTAAAAAAATCTGCCGACAAAAAGATATCAAAAAAAAGTTTCTAATAAAAAAAGAAAACCGGTTTAATCGTCAAGTAGTTCGTCAAGTAGTTCGTGCGATTCAAGCGGTTCAGAGAGTGAAAGTAGTTCAAGTTTTTTATTTAATAAGGAATGATATGCCAATAAGCAGTGCTCCTAACAGATCAGATCAGATCAGATTTTACTTAAATTCAATCTGATCTGAAATTAATTAAATCTGATCTGATCTGATCTGATCTGAATCAGATCGGTTTTAAATTTAATCTGAATCTGATCAGATCTGATCTGGTCTGAATCTGATCTGATCTGATTTGAATCTGACCAAATC